ATGGCATATATTCATTTTATTCATTTTTTTTCTCTTTACTAATAGTAATATTCTTGTTTAGTGCAAAGGAGAGTATTGTTGTCTATGCTTGTGACTGTAGTGAAGAGGTCCTTCAAATGGCAAAGGAGATTGTAGCCACTACCAGTGATGTATCTTTAGATCATCGGTTGCACACTTTCTTACTCGATTTCACTGTACATAAATTTCCTGATTGGTTGTTCTGCTCTTCTTGTCAAAGAGCTTCATTTTCAAAGCCTGTCAACTTATCATCAGGTTAGTCTTAACTTTTCTAGTTGTATTATGAGTGCTTAATCTCATCTTCGCATTCATCATATTCTTTGCTTTTTCATGTAGATTCTAGAGAACAAAAATTGAGAAAATTGAATGCACCATCCTTCCTAAGAGAAAAGCAGTGTTGTATTGGTGGAGTTGATTTTGTTACTTTGGTAAGTGTGCCTTGGGTTATAATCAATGACTTCTGTACTTCTATCATTATTTTGAGACTCTAAGCGAGTGTGCCCTTTCCAATTATAACCAATTACTCTCCATCCTTAACTGGAAAACAAATTAAGATGCTCAAATTTAGGTTTAAAGTTCCTTTCTACACTGCATAATTCTGGTGCAAACAATATTATAAACTGGACCATCATTTTCAAGATTTAAAAAAATTCTGATGTGATGACCCTATATGATTCTCAATTATGATTGCATAGGACTAAGGGATGTAGGCTTTTTCTGTGGATGGTGCAATACATGCAGATGATGTTTAACTTCATCATTGTATTATCATAATTAATAGGTTTTAATTGGTTGCGAAATTTTCCACCTTTTAGCATAAGATATTGGCATAATATGCTTCTTAAGACATCATTTTATCTCTCAATCTTTTTAAATTTTTGCAATAATTGATAATGATGCTTGATAGTCTTTTAGCTGAAGTCCAAGATAATAATAAGTTAATACTTTGTAGATGATAGTAAATTGCATATTTATGCAAAATAAGAAAGTGGTCTCACTGCTGCCAAGACTAAATGGAGGTGGCTGCTACCATGTCTAGGTGGTTTATTGGCACCCAAAATGCTTATGATGGTGTCACTTATATTCTTCATGATGTGCTGCTTCTTCTTTCTGTGAGCTGCTCTACTACAAAAGAGAAAGTTGTCCAACATCAATTTCTCTTATTTGTACAAATGTTCCTTAAATGTGTTTATTATCAAAAGTTAAAATTGAGCCATTTCCTTTTTCTCACAGAACTGGGTACTGTATGGTGGTGTTATTTTGCAGATTTTTACACTGTCAGCAATACCTTTTCAAAGAATGTCTTCTGTTATTGAGAAATGTTTCTCTGTCTTGAAACCTGGGTGCTTGCTTTTATTCAGAGACTATGGTAACCTCTTCTGATTAATTATTTATTCTCTTCAACTTTGGTTTAACTTTGTGATATTTGCTAGAGATATTTTTTGTGGAATGCAGGTCTTTATGACATGACTATGCTTCGGTTTCTGCCAGAGCAAAGGATGGGGTTCCGTGAATACATGCGATCAGATGGTACTTTTTCTTATTTCTTCTCACTGGATATTGTAAGAGATCTCTTTCTTGGTGCTGGCTTTACTGAGGTAACATTTTGGACAATGTTAATGCCAAATTTTGCTTCAAATAACAACCACATGTAATCGTACATTAATTTTAGCTCTAGTATATTTGCAGAAGTGTATCACAGTTGAATATGGTAAAAAATGTTTTCTAGGTCCATGTATATTAACAATGATGATTCAATTTGATGGAAATATCATTTGTCATCTTAATTTTGCATCTCTTTTACAGTTCATGGTGTTTCTTCTTTTTTGTTCTCTTTAAAAACCTTTGTTCAAATAGACATTTTCAACAAAGACACATAAAATGAGCTATCATTGACCAAGGAAAGAACATTGAAAAGAAAATATGCAATGACACTAAAAAAGGTGTTGTATCTCTAGAGGATGACCCTTGGATTACACAGTTTGTATGGAAAATTACCACCAATGTTGAAGGTCTCACTTTGCCTCACGTGTGCACAATATACTTCCTCGCCATATTAATAGAAGGCTTTCTTTGGCCAGATTTCATGTGCTCTGATGTTTGCTGTGACTAGCATGATACATCATGCACCAACATGTAGATACACATGACGTGCAGTTATGCCATCATTTCTTTATCATGGTAGAAACCACCATACCTTAAGTTGTTAATTTGAGTGAAAAAGTTGTAGTAACATTTATGCCTTTTCTTAATAAATGTAGAAGATATCAGATTAATACTTGCAAAACAAACATGGGCCAAAATCAGTTCCTTGGGTGGATTATTAAATTAGTAATGCCTTGAAAATCGGTTGGCATATCTTGGGCTCTTATATGCTCAAGTTCTTCCTGAACCACACATATTTTCATATTCTTTTAATAAATCTTTTATATGCTTATTTTTTTGACGCACGTGATAAAAGAAACCATCTTTTTTTTTTGTTACACAGAGCTTATGATATAAGAAGGCATAGTTAATGACAATGGACATCAGATGTTACTGTGTCACTGGAAACTTACGGTTCATGATTTTCATTCTGCTTTGCAATAGATAATTTCATTATTTCTTTTGAAAACTGGTTAATGTATGGTATCTTCCTGTATGAATTTAGGTAGAAAATTTTTGCTACCTAGCATGCACAAGGTACTGCTGAATAGTATTAATTTATTGTCTAGTGGTAAGTGATGAGAAGTTGTTACTGTACATGCAGTTGGAGCTTGAATATTGTTGTATAACATCAGTAAATCGTCAAAGGGGAAAGAAGATGCAAAGGGTTTGGATTCATGGAAAGTTCCAAAAGCCCATTTGATGCTTCATTTGTTCATTTCTGTTAAGGTAGTTTCCTAGAAAATTTAGCATAATTGTGCCTTTTTTTGTAAATTTTATCTTTTTTGCAGATTGGTTAAACCACTAAATGTGGACAGGACAATTGATTTCAATCATCAATGTATCTGACTGCCTTTGGTAAATAATTTATTTTTAGTTACTTGGAAGAGGAAAATAAACTTCTTGCTTTTAAACTAGTGAAGTTTTAGTGGACCACCCGATAGGATTTGAACCCATATAAAATAGTAGGCTGACATTTCTATTGGAAAAATAGGAGGAAGTGAGAAATTTAGTCATTCAATATCCAATGGTGGCTAGTTGATGGTAGAAAGGTCAGTCGCATTGATTGTAGTCTCAGCTGGTGCACCAACATTCCAAAGATTTACCTTTGAGTTGAGAAGAAACTTGAAGACAGCAATAATGAAAAGCATTTCTTATAAACTAGAGATGATAATCTAAGCTATTGAAGATTGTAATGCTCTGTCTTCCCAAATGCAAAAATAAGGTTAAACAGAATCAAGTGTTTGCACTTATTGATAGCATTCTTTTCATCTGGCGTCTGCTTAATTTTAGTAGTGCATTCCAAACTCACAAGGCTTAAATACTAGGCTGCTTGCTGCTTCCATCTGTAACCAGTGTTTGTAATGATTAATCAGGATCCTTATATTCTCTTAAAAGTTACCTAATGTGAAGAATCACTTGTGCACCTCGGTGTTCTTTGGTTTTCTCATTGTGCATGTCATTGGTCTTGCTCCTAAAAACCTTCCTCTTTTGGTTCCATATGTCTCTAGGAGTTAGCTCTGATTCAGAGGAAGCCTCCACAAAGCAAATATGCATGATTGTTAGTTACAGGCTGAACATCAGCAATACCAAGGCCAAGATTCATCAGACAGCAGGACCAGTGGTGGGTTAGGAAAGTTTAGAGGACTTCTCGTCACTATGTTTGTGTCATTGCAGCCTGATGTCATAAGGTTGGTTCCAAGTTGGAAAATAGTCAGTTTACATATTTAGTCAACTTAATGCCATCATGTTGAAAGTGAGGTGCGACTTTATCGTGCATCCTAAATCCCTCCACACTGATGGTAGTTTGTTTTAAAGTTGGACACGAGTTAATTTGTTTTCTTGGTGAAATTTAGTGCTAGCATGTTAAAATCTCCCTATTCCTTCTAGACATCTGCATATAGTTGATTTGAAGTTGGAAATATCCAGGTCAGACTAATAGTTGCCAGTCTTGGACATCCAGAAACCATGTGTATGCAATGCAATCTGCACTCAGTACACTTTCTTTTTTTGTTCCACTTGGACAATGTACATTATATCACAGCATTTACAAACAATCTAATCTATAAAGCTTTCTGAACTTTACTGGCTAACCTAGTTGGACATGGTTTTCTGCAGAAACTGTTCGTGGGAACTAATTTGGTTCATACATGGCAATTGTTACAGATGGTGGATCACAGACAGTAGCTTCGCCATATCAGGTGTTGAGAAAGAGAGCAGTCACTGTCACCAGCATCACTCTTAATCCTCCATGACCAATCCGAAGCTGCCAAAATAATTTAAAGAGAAAATATCCTTTGTTGATAAGAAGACTCTGGCCATAGTATCTTGAATCTTCTTTTTCTTCCTTCTCTTTTTCTTTTTGAACTTTGTGGCAGTGAAAAGGAAGATGGTGGCGTGCTAGTAAGAAATGAGTTCATTTAGCAGACTGTACAGAGCATACATTCAAGCTATTTACCCAACACACAATGCTCCCATGTTCATCGATTGCAATGTCCGCAATCTTAGGAGGATTTTACTTGATATCTCGGCCATGTTATTATATTTGTCATCTTTTGATAGAATTTAAGCTCATTTCCTGCATTGTAAGCATGTTTTACGCTATTGCACTGTCCTCTTCTGACAAGTCTGCTTCCAACCTTCGGTGTTGTTTAACTTGTTTGAATGTACCACTAAAGATTGTTAGGTAAGTTTGGTGTCAATCCAATAGGAACTTTCATGCTTTCGGGGTGTTAGTCATCAATCTATTGACTTGTTTTACACTTATGTCTGAGGTTGCCCTATCTTTTACTGTTTGTGATTCAGGCAAAGTACAAGCATGACCGGCAGGTGGTGGTAAATGGACCCCCAACTTCAAAACAACGCCTACTTTGGGCCGTCTAAAAGTGCGGCGTTCGGCGGACGACAGGGCGCAACGATGCCAACCACTTAGTTTATCCTAACTAAAATCACTGTAAGTTTTCTTATATATGTATATATATTGCTCATCATCATATAACCCACCTTCTTCCTCCTTCGCAAAATATTCTCAGGAGGCCACCCTTCTCCGACACACCATTACTACTTGTCTCCTCTGAAACCGGCAAACTTCCTTTCCCATGTCTCCCTCTACCCAACTCCTCTTTCTCCGTCTCCTATAAGTAAACCTCGTCCGTCACCGCCGGAACCTCGTGCCAAGTCACGGCGGCGGCTGCCGGGATGGCTTCCGGCGGCGTCTCACCGTGCGGGGCGTGCAAGTTCCTGCGGCGGAAGTGCGCGAGGGACTGCGTCTTCGCGCCCTACTTCAGCTCCGAGCAGGGGGCGGCGCGGTTCGCCGCCATCCACAAGGTGTTCGGCGCCAGCAACGCGTCGAAGCTGCTGCTGCACGTGCCGCAGGCCGCCCGGTGCGAGGCGGTCGTCGCCATCGCTTACGAGGCCCAGGCCAGGCTGAGGGACCCTGTCTACGGTTGCGTAGGCCGCATCCTCGCGCTGCAACATCAGGTAGCCCCCTCCCTCGCCTTCTGTCGCACGCAAGCGTGCTCGAGCACTCCACAAGACCATATATACACATACACGTCTTTGGAGGGTTCAACAGATGTTGAGGTCCTCTGAGACACCGTTTCTTCTCTCTTGGGAAGGGAATAAAGAAGGAACACTGTTGAAGAATTCAGATGATGTTAGTATGAATGAGTGATTCACGGTGATAAACTTGCTACCGTGGTGGGCTGTTCTCTTTTACACTGTTCCATTCCATTGCGACCCTTTTTGAATTCTGATGACTACTTTCCATGTCTATCTACCTACTCCCATGCGACTTGTTGAGACGATGACGACTGCTACGGGATTTATCAACCTGATGATACATTTTTCGTATAGGTTGCAGCTGATCATGTGATATGTATGTATAGGTTTCTAGCTTGCAGCTGCAGTTGCTGCAGATGAAGGCTCAGCTAGCTCAGTGCATGCTTTCTCCACAATCCACAGGGAACCAATGGCAAGGGAATGATGGGAGCTCTTTGTTCCGACCATGTTCTCCTGCCTGGGAATCCATGTCTTCTCGGGGCTCCTTCACCTTCACCGACCAAGACCGCAATTGTCTCTTGCCACTGCAAGATGTTTTCTCCAAAGAGAGTGGCAAGAGCCGGGCAACACAAGCTGAAACGGGGGAGCTTCAAGACTTGGCCTTCAGGATGACAGGCGAGTTGTGACCGATTCGGTGTTTGCTTGATAGAAGAAAATAGAAATCTGTGACCACGTTTTGGATATTTTGTATATAGTTCGCTGAAACTTGTGCTGTTAAGCTCGATAGGTTCCTCCGAATTGTATGGTAGAAGAAAAACACCGAAAAGAATTCTAAAAATAAATAAACAAATAAGTACATCTAAAGATGTTTCAATCAATATGGTTCAAAGATGGACCAATAAACAAACCATGCCGATTAAGGAACTGAATCTAGAAGCTCAAATGGTTACGGCGTTGACCTTCAAAGTCTTGCAGCGTTTGCTAGTCTCATCAATTTCCATCCACAGTCAATAAATTATTCTCCCATCGTACTCTCATCATCCAAGTACGTGTTTAGAACTACGATTATGACTCAGATAACTTAATCGTACGCGCTAATGGACGTAGCGTATCCCTCGTCGATTGCACAGTTCAACATCGAAGGAGTAGCTTGCATGCAACCCCAATCTCTTCTCATCTTAGACCTTGACAAGCTACTAATGATGGCACCAAACTAAAAGACCAAGTAGAGTCGAAAGAGAACCTTCACCATTTTGTCTATTTCGGCCAACATCTGCTAAAGCCTTCTGTTCGTATATAGGACGACCGGATAACATCTGCTCCACACGAGTTGGATAGCAACAAAGCCCACACCCCCTATTTTGTACTTTAATCAATGATCAATCACATCAATTGGTCATTTAGACATTGACCAAAGTAAAAATCTTCTCTTATTAGTCGATACGTATTAGCTTTCGGCTAAAGGAGCATTCACGACAAGCGTCAATTAGCTGAACGAATGTGCAGTGAGCGTAGTGGGGTTCACGATATTGTGGCGTGAAATTGAATGCTATCCCATGCTAGGCAAGTGTTTTCTCGATCAATGCAGTTCGAGGTGGAGATGACCCTATCAAGGATCAGAGCTCGATTCGTCTACGTCTCGTATGTGGGGTCCAATTGTCATGTCATCCCGTCCGTGCATTTTGTCCTCATCGTTCAACGCCTTTTTTTTTTTTGGGTCCCATCATGTCTCTGGGTCCTATTCGATTTTTTTTAAAAAAAATATTTTTAATAAAAAAAATAAGTGACAAAGATAAGATTAATCCTAAAAGTTTTAGGAAGATATCTCTAAAAATTCTATTTTTTTTATTTAATCAGATGGTGCCCTTGTTTTTATTTTTCTTAGATAGTAATAATATATTTTTTTATAATTTCATATATATTTAAAAAAAAAGTAATATTTTTATTTAATCAGAGTAACGTGATAGAGCTTTGTGGTAAGAGCAGACAACAAAGACGATAGATAAGTGATGTCGCACAAAGATGACAGGGCATTGTGGTGGGAGCAATGGGTGAGGTGAAGGTCGATCGGAAGAGTAGTGGTGGGGAGGGGTGGGTAAGGTGTCGTATCATGGTGAGATGGATGGAGGGGACAACGGAGAAGGGTAAGAACATCTATTAAATTATAAAAAATATACGTACTATATGTGAAAAATAAAAACATGGGACATCATACGAGAAAAAATAAAAAAAAATATTTTTTTTTTCAACAACATCATCCAAAATTTTACTACCGATAGTCAAAATCTTTGTTGACTAGTTAAACTTATATTTTCAAATTATATGGAATGAGACTTCAAACTTTCAATTAAGTTGATCTCACACCACTCCTAGACCAAATACTCTATATCTTATGTATAAAATTTAACGCATAAGAGATTTAAACTCTTAAATTGTAGTAAATAAATTGATATACCATTCAGTATGTCTAATATATTATCAGAGCTACACTTAAATGTTACTGAGACCTATGTGTCGGAATGATTTAACTATCCAATGTGGCAACAAGTCGATGCTGATATTATATGCATAACATTTTGGTGGACATGTGAAACTGACGACTGATGGGATGTGACATGATATCGTATTATACATCCCACAGGTTCCTCTTGTGGAATGCTATGATATCATCGGCAGGACCACATCAAGCAAGAATTAGTCCTAGACTTGTCGGAACACCCAAGCGTCCGGCCCGGTATTCATCTGTGGACATCTGTGCCGGTCTCAGTTGGCAATCAATGCCACAAGAAATAATAATAATAAAAGGATGGAGAACGTGGCAACTCATAACCCAAGAAAAATAAAGAGAGAAAGAAGACAAAGTCAATCTCTTGAAAACCTTGCACCCGAGGCTACCAAAACGAAGAACATGACAGCTCGTAACACTGGCCATCAGACTGATGTGGTGAAGGGCCGGCAACGATAAAGGCACCAACCACTCCCCAAGACCGCATCCACATCCATCGATATGGCATCCCTGCGAATTCTTGAGAGGTCTCGAGTCTCTCCCCCGGCCGGAGCAGTTGCTGAGACCACTGTGCCCCTCACCGCCTTCGACTTAATCTGGTTAAAGGGTGGAACAGTCGAGCGAGTCTTCTTCTACCGTCTACCACACTCCACCGCCTATTTCTGCGCCTCCGTCCTCCCCCACCTCAAGTCCTCCCTCTCCCTCGCTCTCCAGCAGTTCTACCCCCTCGCTGGCAAGATCCGGCGGTTCCCTGAGCTGGATGACGATAAGTACGAGATCCGTTACGTCGACGGCGACTCCGTCTCGTTCACCGTGGCCGAGTACGACGCCGACTTCGATGAGGTCTCCGGAGATCACGCACGTGGTGTCGGCCCGCTGCTACCGTTGCTTCCCCAGCTACCGAGGTCCGACGACGACGGCGTTCCGGTGCTGGACTTGCAGGTGACCGTGTTCCCGAACCAAGGCGTGGCCGTCGGAGTGGCGGTGCACCACGCCGGATGCGATGGCTCGAGCTCCATGCGGTTCATGTTCTCGTGGGCTTCCACATGCGCTGGGCCGAGAAGCTCGGCGGCGGTGGTCGCGACGCCGCCCGTCTTCGACAGGAGTTTGGTTTCTGTTCCTCGTGATTTGTACTCCATTTTCTACAGGTACTTTGGCCAGCGTGCTGACTGGATCATCCACGAGGATCCACCGGAGGACATGGTCATCGCTTCGTTCACTCTTAAAGGAGATCACATCCGAAGGCTGAAGGAACTGATTTCCGCCAAAGCCGGAGCCATGGAGGGAGGCGGCGCATCCCTCCGCTGCTCCACCATCATGGCGACCTACGCTTACGTTTGGGTGTGCCTAATCAAAGCACGAGCATACGGAAGCGACCGGACTGCCCACTTCATGTTTGCTGCCGACTGCAGAGGAAGGCTGAGGCCCCCTCTGCCGGCGGCGTACTTCGGGAACTGCCTCGGCGCCTGCTTCGTCGAAGTGAAGGCAGGCGAACTCCTACGAGAAAATGGGGTCGTCTCGGCTGCGAAAGCTATTGGCAAAGCCATAGAAAGATTCGGAGACGATCCTTTACGAGGTGCAGAGACATGGCCGGAGAGAATCAAGTATGTCGCGCTTCAGCAACCATTAAGCGTGGCGGGATCACCCAGGTTTCGGGTGTACGATCTGGATTTTGGGTGGGGAAGGCCGAAGAAGGTGGAGGTCACCTCCATCGTGAGGTCAGGAGCCATGTCTCTGGCGGAGAGCAGAGACGAAGATGGTGGGGTGGAGATCGGGATGGGTCTCCTAAAGCATGAGATGGATGAGTTCGCGACCCACTTCATCGATGGCCTCGATCGATTGCAATAATCATTTCTTGGAAGGTTTTCAGCATCAATTATTTCTCTCTTAAAACATATATGAAGCTTTAATTGTCTCTATCTATGAACTCAGTCAGCATTTCAGACTGGGAATATTTCGAAATGTTTGTAAATATGGACAATTAATAATTGCATGGGAATATTTCGATTTGATCCAAAGATAATATTTTAAGGAAAGTAAGCTTAAATCCATTAATTTCCCAACAAAGTGGCCATGGAAATTATGTGTTAAATGAGTTATCTACTGGGTCCTGATATTTATTGTTTTACTAAAAGTAAAAAACTAATATTATGTTAGAAAATCTAGTACAATATTCTCCTTTGATATTATAGCAGATTAACTTAAAAATAATCTGAGTCATTCTTTTCTCAAAAAAAAAAAAGAAGAAGAGGATATTGATATTATAAACCTGATTATTTTATCTATAAACTTATGTAATTTTTTTTATATGAAAAAAATTTACCTGATATTTCAAAGATAAAATGTTTCTTCAAGTAGTAAAGTCCATGATATTTTAAATATATTTTTAAAAATAAACGATGAAGACAGGTCTAATCATATGATCTTACTATATTATGATGAGTCAAGATTTTTACCAGATAAACTGGTTAATATTTTCAAATATTTATTAGCTGAAATTATAGATTCTCAATCTTTACTACATTAAGGCTAATATTTTGAGTGTTAAAATTTGTAATATAAGATTTGGAACTTTGATCTTGAGACAATGGAGCCCTATGTTTCCTGTGCACATCAATAATCATCTAATTATTAGATGAAGTTTTTGAAATGATGTTGCTGTTCTTAAAATTTTGATTTCTTCTCCTACTATTTTATTATTCTTCAGATTTATTTATTTCCTCTTTATATTTTATTTCATGATAAAGCCAACTGAACATGATGGATGGATGAATTATGCCTTGTCCTTGTAATATTAAATGGGAAAAACCAACAACAGGTCAGTTCAATCTAAATTATCCTATTGATCATAGTTATCAAGATGCTAAACAACAATTACTGTAAAGACAAGACTATTCAAAGCATTTTATTTGACTCTTGATAATAATTTTCAATGTGTCCATATCAAATTAGACTAAAATAATGATTGATAACATTAATATATCATCACCTCCCCTACAGATAATTTAAACATACTTTTCACCTGTTGCCTAATATTAGCAAATTCACTCGATATCTAATATAATGCATGCATTCTCAGAAGAAAATCATATGATATCTACTACTAATATACTTTTGGTTATCTTTAATATCTCAATTCTGTCACGGAGGACGCACACCCTTATTCTAGGAAAGTACGTAAGTGCATGCACGCATCGCTTACTTTATGCTGTGCCAAATGCTGACATAGCTCTGGTATTATATATGCGTAGCTAAATGA